TCATGACCAGATGTAAATTTGAGTTTTTTGTGCCAGCTGATAGATCTATAACACGTGCATTTAAGAAGTCATGATGCAAACATTTAAGATGTTTTCATTCTAAGAAGAAGAAGAGAAAGCTAAATCATGATGCAAACATTTACATGTTTATTTCTTTATTTCTTTATATATATATATATATATATATATATACACATAGAGAAATAACAAATAGAGGGGCAGCATGATTTTATATTAAATGAGTTTGGAGCGACAGGTGGGTGAACGAACCAAGGTTGACTTACACTATAATTCAATAAATAATGTGGATAATTTTTTACCACTTGATTTCTAACATAATTATTACAGAAGTTCAGAAAATTATATGACATTAACAGCAACATTTACACGTCATAGAATTAATATAGTTCTTTTGGGATTAATAAAACTAATGAAGAATGAATTTAGAATGGTTGTGAGCATTTTTGGAGGGAAATGATATATTATAAGGTGGGGTGCGACTATTTTTGCCAATGGGAATAAAGTTATGTACAATTCACATGGTGTTTTAACATAAGATGAAAAATATTATAATAGATTAATTTTGCAAAGGTCAGCAAAGATTGGTGACAAATTGATATATTTTGTAAGTTGTGGATAAAGTAGTAAAAGTTTCCAAATATTAGTGACAAAATGTGCAATTTTTTTTTTTAATTTCTAAACTGGATCAATAGTGCAAATTTTTCCGTAATAATTGCACAGCACATTCAGCCAAAAGACTCACATTACGCACTACGTTTTTTGGTTGATTCTAATGGCATTTTTATTAAACAATAGTGTTCTCTCTAAGCTACGAATTCATTCTCAGGTACATGCGTATGGTTTATGTGCGGTTGTTATGCTAATTTTTCATCTGTACACCTGTTTATTGAGGTAGATTGTCGAAATGGACAGTATAAATTGATGGGCTATTACTGAAATAATTCGTTAACGCTATCAAGGCATGGATTTCATGTCGAACCTGGAACTCGTGAGAAGGTTGTGAGTACCTTTTTTTCCTAGAATGTCTTCACGATTTTTTATTTTTTTTGGTGATAACTTTTGTTCTTTACATTTGGTTTTTTTTAACTGTTTCTTTTTTATAATATTGATCCTTGGGATCTGAATAATTATGTGAATTTAAACAAAAAAAAACCATTAATAATAACTTTTGGTCTAAAAGAAGAGGGCAAAAGTAATTTTTTTTTTTTTTAACATGAATTGACATTATATTTGCCCAAAAAAGTAGAACAAGGGGATAAGCAGTAGAATCATATTGCTCTGTGAACATTGATTGAGATTTCGTGCAATAGAATCATCAAATGGAGTTGTTCAACTTTTTCTTAGCTTTTATAAAGCTTTTATTACTGAATGAAGTTGTTCAACATTTCATTCAGGTGCGATGGAGTTTTATAATTGGAATAGAAAATTACGTGTTTGAAATTAAATTATATATTTATGATTCTATAACAAAGCCCACAATTGATTTTTTATGGGATTTTTTATTCTAATTCTAGTTCCTAGAATTTATGTCGAAATGCATAACTTTAGGTAGGGATGACAATCAAGCTCATCGGCTCGGGCCGCCTGTGGCTCGGCTCGGCTTGGCTCGGAAAAAGCTTGAGACTCGAGGCAGAGCCTCATTTTTAGGTGCCAGGCAAAGCTCGAGCCGGCCCGTGTGACTTGCCGGCTCAGGAGAACGGAGCATATATTTAAAAAAAAATTAAGGCAGCTGCCTATTTCTGGCAGCAGGTTGCTGCCGTCTTTTAAAAAAAATAAAAATTTAAAAAATATTCAAAACCTAACAAAACCCGAGTCGAAAGCTCAGATCGAGCCTAATTTTTTTTGCCGAGCGGCTCAAGCCCGAAAAAAAGCTTGGATATTTTGTCCAAGCCTAGAACTTTGGCTCTTGAGTTGGCTCGACTTGACTTGTTGACATTCCTAACTTTAGGTTTCTAAATGCTTCTGTCGATCTCAAAAAATATACGGATGATGTGGCCAACAAATTCGAGTTCTCTCTGCTCCAAATAAGTTTTTAGTCTTGCACACTTGGACAAATCGTAAGTCACATGTGGCCTTTTCCGGAGTAGGGAAGGCGATCGCATGCACTTCGACGGTCAAGTGAATTAATAAATGAGTGAAGGGGTGTGGGATGTGCTAGATACGTGAACCACTAAATAAATCAGGTTAGATCCGGGAGGGTCTTAAGTGAAATGAATAGAGAGCAAGTTTTTAGTTTGGATGTATAAAGTTGTATTATTTGTAAATGACACAATGTATGAGCTTTTATATGAGAAGGGGTGAAATGTTAACCGTTGGATGGAAAGACACATGGCATCATCCCGATGACCAACTTGTTAATTGTTCCATCATAGGCTAGGAATATTTATGGGCATTTAATCTCTCTGAAAAATTGTCACCCTAGACCCTAGGTCTAACCTCTTGTGTGTAGATGACAATTTGACCTAAAAGTGCTGCTGCACTGAGTTGTCACATCAATCAATCACAGGTGGATCATGTATGAAAGATCTCTTGAGAAGATGTGAACTGGAAGATGCCTTTTGCAAATGTGGAGGCTAGGAGTTTCGCACTTCTTCCCTGCAACGTACGTTACACTTCAGCTCATCCATAGATGGTCGGCCTCGACATGGCACCTTCGTTGAAATGGTGCATCACCATGACTACCTTATATGGCCTCACTCGGCCAAATTGGAGGTGATATGGTGTGCGGGCCTTATTGATTTACTTAGTTGGCTACTATGTTGGTGATGATCTGAAGCCTCTTCATAAAAGGCATAACAACTTCTATTACCAAGTGTTGCAGGTATTCACACTTATTGAAGGTTTTTTTGTGGCATCTAATTTGTTTTAAGTCGAAGAAAAGAATAGCAAATCAATTTTTCTTTCTTCTATGAGCCAATAGCTGAGAATTCGATATAATTCCTATGGAGGAGAATGCAGATTTTTTAAATAGGTATGGATTCTCAAAGTAATAGGGAAAGTTTCTTGTTTGTTGCATTAGTTTAGGTAGTTTACTCCACTGGATTAGTTTCTTAACTTTTACTTTGGCTTTTTATTAAGATGCAAGAAATGCGTACAAGGTTGTGTTATGGATTTGACAATGTCTGATGTTGGATTTCAACATATCAACTATTGCATTTCTTATCTGGACTTTGACCTGCTATGGAAAAACATAAGTGGAGTTATAGGCTAATGCCGACTCCATATTTATTGAGAATGCAGTTTAGTTGTTTTTGTTGTCTATCAATGTATATGACTGTTGTTTCTACCATTTGGTTCGTGCATGATTAATGCCATTCCAACTTTTGACTTTTGAGTTCAAAGAGTGTTCATGGACTCACCGAATTATTCCATGATTCTTTTGAATTGAGATAGTTCGAAGATTTTTCCTCTGCTTGCTGGAGTAGCTCTTTGTATTTCAGTAGATTCGTTTCCGTTCTAATGCATCCTTACGTTTTTTTCTAGTAAATGTTTTCCTTGCATATTCATTTTCATTAGAAAACCAATAAACTGTGCCATATCATATTTTAAATATCTGTGTTCAGAATCCTTTAATGGGGCCTTTACATCTATTGAGTTGTTTGACACACTTCAACCAAATGCTGGTGACATAATTATGCTAAGATGATACTGAATGGCCACCACATGTTCATCCTCTTTTCATCTTCCATAGCATTTTGCCACTTGACGTTTTTCTGTCCGATCGTACTCCTTTTTTAGCCTTGAAACCTTTACAGTGGAACAAAGTTGACATCAATTTATAATATTATTAGTCAATTATCATACTTCTTAGTTTGCTTATACAGCCGTAACATAAATATTAAAAGTTTTAAATTTTAAAATTAATGACCTTTTTTTTAGATTAATAAAATTAAAAACCTTAATTGAATGATTTAATATTCGTGATTGTGGGTTTAACTTTACCATATAAAAAGGGATGGAAAATTTCATTGTTTGATGCAACTTAGAAAAAGCTTGAAAATAATCTTTATATATTTTATATTCTATTATTTTGATAACTCGATAAGGGTCGTTCTTTACCTCCCTGTGATCGTACTCATAAAATGAGAACGACTATAAGCTATATGAGTTTTATCTTGGAGCCGTGTAGTGTCGAAAGTATCCGCACTAAAGAAAGGTAACACGACTCCAAGATAAAATTTATATAGCTTCTTCTATGGGCAAAACCACATAAAGATAAAGTACCGAGTCTTTATCGAGTTGTCAAAATAGTATAACATAAAATGTATATTCCTCTTATAGGGACAAATTCAACCCCCCACATTCATGAAACTAAATCCCATTTAAGTAAAAGTTACAATCTAAATTATGATATTAAATTTGTATTAAAACGTAAAATTAAAACTGAAAATTAATATTAATCTTTAATTTTGGAAGTCAAAACTTTTTGTGAGTTGCAATATATACAAATACTTACTCTTTTTTACAGTTGACTAGAGCCGAAGTTTTACTCATTTATTGGTTCAATGTACATGGAGAGAGGTTATTGCTTTCTTGTCTACAAACCATATCTTTTTTATTACATATTTAGTGTAAGAGAATGTTAAAACTTCATCTAAAGAATCTTAGTTCATGATAACTGCACCGTTCTTACGAATTGGGAACGCTTATAGAGGAATTTTAGATGTCCTTGGCAGCCTGGTTATTATTTGGATACAATCTGAAAGCCTCTAATAGTTATGGTTCTAATTTGTTTTATGTATTGGTTGGGTGCTTTATTTTGTTACCTTGACCTCCCTTCTGCATGGCTGCGATTATGTTTGCAGATAATATTTATCTTCCGGACCTTACTATATTTCGTACTATATTGAATCATATGTAGCAATTCTTTTAGTGCCTTTCTCCCTTTGTTGCTGTGTGTGTTTGGTCCCTTTTCTCACCTTTCAGCAAGTAATTATTGTCCTATTGTGCATTATTTTGAAAGAAGCTCATTGTTTCAGCTCTTGGTGGAGGACCCAGCATTAAAACGCTTCAAATCACATAAGAAAAGTGTTCGGCGCCTCAAAATAGTCGGAGATGCTCTGACCATCATAGTTGTAGCTGGTATGTTAATCCGCCTCAAAATGTTAAAAGCTTTATTTCTAAAAGTTCCATGACATGGAATTTCATGCACTGTTTACGAATTTGGATAACTTGCTGTTTGCTTCTGATTATTTTACATTTTCTTTGAGGGGAAAAATAGAAAACACATAACTGCTCTTAAAATTTAACGAAATGTTGGATTGAACTTGGTTGTCAACCTAGTATTTGCAATTTTGAAAGTACCAATGAATGTGTACTGCTGCGATGCTACTGAACGGTTGTATCTCAGAGCTCTTATGCAATGTTTAGTAACCAGATTGTTCGGGCGTTTCTTGCAATTCTTGTATTCTGATTGTTATTCTGATTGTTCAAACACAATTGTGCACAATGGCAAACTTGTTTTTACGTTTTGTTTTTGATGTTTATTGTAACCAGGGTGCTGCTATGAGATCTACGTAAAAGCAACAGTGCGAGAAGAAGCCCGTAAAGTAGGCAAATGATTAATGGTGTAATAGCCTTTAAAATGCACATTCAGTGGCTTTCTCCATCGGTTGAAAGAAGAAATTGAATGTACAACAGAATCGGGTAGTTTCAATATTTTAGTATGACAGACTTGTTTTTTTACCCACTTTGGTGGTGATGGTGAAGATAAAGTGGTTTGAGATGTACAAGCGATTTCTGAAATGACAAATCGAATGGCAATGGAATGTTATGAGCTCGTGGTGATGCTATGATTACCAAAAAAGAACTCAGTGATCATAAAGTAATTTTAGCTCTTATTTGATGGAGATTAGAATCAGATTTTAGTGAATTTTGTAAAATACTAAAATTTGCTAAAATCTGATGAAATGTGTAGTTGAAAAGTTGTGGGTTTTATGAAATATATGGTTAAAATTAAATTATTGATTTTAATTTAAATTTAAATTTAATATTAATTCCCATCAAACGAGGACTATAATTTCATAATTAAAAAATTAAATTATGAGTTCTCTCTCTCTCTCTCTCTAGCGAAGGAGGTACCAATCCTTAAATCATTGACCTCAAATGTGATTTATTTAGCACATCAATTCTTAAATCATTGACCTCAAATGCCCCATCAAACAAGGCATGGGTTTTTATTCTTTTATTATTTTTTTCCCTCTCCAAGAATAAAGTTATGTGGCCCTCATGGTGCTAGAACACCAAACTAAGTGTCACATTTTAAATGTGATTTATTTTTCAACTTTAAAAGGGATCTATCAATTAATGACACTCGTATGATACTAAAATTTCAATGCTGCTACTCAGACAGACTCACGAGCAGTTTAGAAAACAGACTAACGTGGAAAAGAATTTTTGACTGAAAAAAATTAAAAAATAAACAAAAGATATTAGAAAAATAGTTGTTTCCTCTCCATGAACCAAATTCTCTATCTCTCTCTTCCCGAACCAGAACAGAACCCCAGTCCCCCCCCCCCCCCCCCCCCCCCCCCGAACCAGAAGAAAACCTATTCCCCAAATCTATCTTTCCAAATTTGAAACCCTAGGCAAAAGTTTCCATCGTCGGCCACAATTCCAAGCAGCGTAATGTAAGGGTTCCGTTGTCACTTGACCCATCATTTTCGGTCGCTGTGAAACCCCTCATTGTCGCTGATCGTAGTTACCGTGGAAAGGTCCATCGCGTTGCATCTTCGCGAACGATTCCATCGCCACACGTCGTACCATCACGACGCCGTCGGCAAACCACTGGACCTCACAAGCAGGTAGAATGATTTTTATTTCATCATTTTCCATTTTTTCAGCTTTGATCAGGTACAATGTTTTGTATTTCATAAATTCTTGCTTACGGGAAGCTGTTATGCATCTATTGGGATAAATGGGGTTGATAGGATTGGAGGAATATATGTGAAGTGAAATGAATTGGGGACTTGTATGATCAAAACTCGATGTATTTTGTGAAAATTGACTGTGTTTTGTGAAAATTGCAACTTCCATGATACTACAGTAATTCAAAGAAAGAAGAGTCATTATTATCATTTCATCACTTGACAATCTCCTATGAATTGCTCATTTTCATAGATTCAGTTTTCTGCAAAAGATTTTCTTTATAAATGTGGTTAATTCACCAGTTTTCTTTGTATTGAGAGTTGCCCTGCAACTTGTGGCAATCATTGTTATGACCAGTATATTTTTGACCATGTTGTGTTGACATAGTACATATCATTGTTGTATATCGTTGTTACTGACTTCATCTTCGTTGTTGGTGGTTGATTCCCGTCTCAGAATGCCTAGAAGGAATTCTGGAATATGTCACAGTTGTAGAGCTAAAGATCACTTATTTGCCGATTGTAAAAAGAAACGCCAGTGCACACAATGTCAACAAGGATTTGAGAAATGTTTTGTGGTAGAGAAGGAGAATAAGAACAAAGGGAAATTAATCCTTTATTGCAGTAACAACTACGACTTTTGGGAGTGGGTTGTCAAAGAGGGCTCCAGGGGTCCATCTGGACACAGTAGTGCAAACTTGATTAACCATGTGAAGAATGAATTAGTTGAAGACTTGTCCTGTACTTTCCAATCTCGAGTTCGAATAAGCGACGAAGAAGACCTCCAAATTTCGGTGGACGTGAGGATTCGGGTGGAAAAAGTTAGCGTGGAAGGCAATGCAAAAAGGAAATAACCAGTTTGACTACTAGATAGTTATGGAACGAGTAACATGAGATAGATTTGTACATATATGACTACTATGGACGTAAAAACATGTTATAATGCTATTTCCTTTTTTAACATTGTGACTGCGTTTTGATGTTGTAGCTGGGATTTTGCTATTTGGGTTCAACATGATGGCCTTTCATTTTGATATTTCAGTAGTCATTATTGTTGTTTCTGTCATATGTTTTCACTTGAATATTAGATGCTGGCATACCAGATATAAGAAGCTATAAACAATGTGCTAAAGGCAGTTGCATGGTTTTCTGTTAAAATGGAAGCTAACCAAATGAATTAGAGAACAATTCAGCTTTCAGCTTGTACAAATCAGCATACATTTTCCATAACCAGTATAGTTCTCTGGTAAATTCAGCATACATCTAACCAAAGGAATTAAAAGAAAAGCTAATAAAAAAATTTCCACAACCATAAGAGTTATGTTGTACAAATTCAGCATATATCTAACCAAATGAAAAGGGAGATCTTTGTTCCCAACAACCAACTAAATTAAAAGAGAAGCTACAACAAGGGAAAACATATGAAAAGGCAGAGGTCTTTATTCCCAGCAATACAACCAATTCTTGCTTGCCATCGACCTTGTTGATGATGCCTGCATAAATTGAGCTATTAATTTGTAAGTTCATTTTCTCTTTGATAGTTCTTGCTATAACTACAAAATGTGTCATGTACGATATGTGATAGAAACACATGTAAACAATTGTTTTGAGACCTCGTAACACCTCTACAAACGGATATTCCCCTTCAAAACCCGCTACTTTCCTGAAAATATTATCAACATTCAGTTTAATTCAACGAGAAAGAGACAATGGCTAAGTAAAATAAGTTTAGCATTGTGCTTGACCTACATCCCACTCAAATGCCTCTTCCACCTTCGTCCGGTAAGCTTGGATAGTAAAACGGCATATTTTGACCTACATTAAAATACATTGTCAACGTTAAATAAAGCAATCATGAGAAAATGATGTGAATTACACATAACGTTTGCAGATGATGGATGCATCAAATTTGCAGATGGTACGTGCTATGAGAGGGAGATCGGCGTCAACATGGAGTTGGACAAATATAAAACGGCGTCGGCGTGGAGTTGTGCTTGATGAAGCTGGACGTCGAATCCTCCATCAAGCATACTAGTGTTGCTTGTTGTCGATCTCTTACAGGTGGCTGACTTCGAATCGGACTGCATGTGCAACAAAGTTACTCTTGATTTTAATTCAAAATAGCTGAGCAAAATGCAATCAATGAATCAAGCATACCTTCGCTTTCTTCGATGCAGTCTCCAATGGGCTTTTTCTTCTGAGTTTTTTTGGCGCTCCCTTTCTTCGAGTCAACTTCGGATCCAATAAGCTAACGCTAGTACTATTTGCCAAATCAGTGCACTGATCAAGGACCTGAACAGTGTTTTGCGCTACGACATTACTTCCAATACTCAATTTTGTAGACGTAAGCTTTTCGCATTGACATTTTATCCACTTTATTATCGCATGTGACCGCCTTTCATCATCTGCAACAAGGTTTGCTAGCTGTGCAAAATCAGTAGACATCTCTTCATATCTCATTTGTGCTGGAGTACTAACCAACCCACTGTAGTTTACGGCAACCCTCGTATGTGCTCTACATACATCTTTCCTCCATCTTTGCAGTATGTACTTGTCCGGAATATATGTGACGTCATTTAGTGCCAACACTGTGATCTCATCTTTGCAAAGTATTCTTCGAAACTCGAACAAGTGACAGCTACAAATAATTTCACATTCATCTCTCTTATAAGACACGATATACGTATTTTTCCTCCGATGGCCCTCATACATAATAGTGTCACATACTTCGTACGTCGCTTTGGAACTATTTTCGAAGTGGACAGGATGTCACAATACACCATCCCCGTGAATTCGGCTTGAACTTCACAAAATTTTGAGATGGTGTAAATTGATTAATACTATTGCTCCATTTCAAATTGTGTTGCACAAGGTACCATCTGCGAGAATGACTTAAAATCAGTTTGAAATTCCTTTTCAGCCTTATTCCTAAGAGCACGTTCGTATTTTTCGACGAACTGCTTCAACGAGGTTTTTGAATGCACGTAACCATCGAAAAATACATTCATACTTTCACTTCTTTGTGTAGTTGACATACTCGTCCAAAAAGTGGTTTTGAAGAAGCATGGAACCCAACGCCCTCTATTCTCATACAATTCAAATAACCAATCATTATCATGCAACTCATATGTGTCAATCATTGTTCTCCAACCGTCTTCGAATTCCCCAGTAGACTGTGAATCATATACCAAACCATGTACAGCCCCAAATATGGAACCTTTATCCATGTGGTAGCCAAATTTCTCTGGAAACTTCTTTAAAATGTGCTACAGACACCATCTGTGCTTCGTATTAGGAAAAACAACCTAAATTGCATTTTGCATTGCCCTATCTTGATAGATAATTATACCATGTGGAGCATGATAGTGCATGCATTGAAACCATGTCCTAAATAACCATATAAAAGTATGTGTCTTTGCTGGATACCAAACCACAGCCAAGCAGTGTTGATTGTCCATGATGATTTACTCCGACAAAAGGGGCGAACGACATGTCATACTTATTAGTTAGATAAGTGGTATCAAACGTAACGACATCACCGAACTCCTTGTATGCCTGCCTACACCAATTATCTACCCAAAATACATTTCTGAGTCGCGACTCATCGTCCAAATCCATACTAAAGTAAAATCCAGGGCTGTGTGCTTGCATTTTCGAAAAGTAGGTTTGAATTGCTGCAGCATCTCCTTCTTCAAGTCTTAAACGCCTTATTCTATATAGTTACGACAATCTTTTTCTATACATGTCATGTTTTCATATCCATCTGCTTCTACAACGGCAGAGTTGTAACTTTTATGCAATGGGATTCCCGTTAAATCATTCACTTGAAGCTACCGCTTCACATGTGCACTCAAGTGTCTGTTGCACCGATATAACCTGGATTTAGAAGGACTTGTTTCATGATTATGGTCGAGGTTTACCGCATTAATTCTCCAATTTCCAAAAGTATCGGAAGATCCAGATATCCTAGCCTTACAACCCATTTTAACGGTTGGTTGCGGCTTCAAAGAATCGCTACTATTACTGATTATTCCGCTTTCACGACTACATGTCAACGTCATGTATCTCACAACTCCAACGTCTCCCTTTTTTGAATTCCTTTTCTTAATTGGAAAATTCACCGCATAAGCATATTTCTTGTAGAAATCATACATATCTACTTCACTTTTAAACAACATACCCACTTCAAGCACAATTACACCATCTCCGCCTAATGTTACACCTTCCACTACATTCACAGACTCCAGCAACTCAACATTATCACATTGCACTAAAATATCGTCCTGCTTATCTTGCACATGCAAATCCATACTGTATTACACTGTGAAAAAAAAAACGATCATGTTCAATGAACATATACAACAACTATCTATTGTACGGTAGAAAATCAATCTATTTAACATACAAAGAATTTCATGTTCATAAATTACAGGTTAAAATCTCTGGGGCACCCATGCTTGTTAAACTATGAACTGTGTTATTTATTTAATTAGTACATTAAGACATCAAAACGATTTTAATGTTGAGTACACAAACACTTCCTCAAACCCATTTCGTGAGAAAGTATGAATCTGAAAATCCAATGCTTCTTATTCATGAAACTAAACAGTAACATATATTTTACATAAAGCATCTTTCAGCACTTAAATAATACACCAATAGCACCACAAATGCATGTGAATTACTAATTAACAATAAATTATAGCTTATTTCTTTCCTTAATACTTCTGGTCACTCTTTCTGCTCTGTCAGCTTAATGAAATTGTGCTCCATTCGAGAATCTTGACACGAATAAGTGCTGGTTTTGAGCAAAATAACATAACAAAAATCATAAGAGCAAGTCTTTCGAGATTTTTAGAACAAGAAAAGTAATGCTAAATGACATAAGCTATTATAATCAAGAAGATAACATGAAATGAGTAAAAGGATGGGATCTGTTTCAGTAGAATTGAATATCTTATAATTAGTTAATTAATCAAAACATGCTAGTTGCTGAAGATAAAGAACGTGGTAAATGCATTCACGCTAATGTTTTACCTCAGGCTCTAGCCTCTGGAAGCGTATCATGCTGCTTTACCAAGAAACAATTTATATTCACAGCAAGCAGGATATTCAATGTTAATCACTATTTTCATCCAGTCTACATAAACCCTCTAAATTCTAACAGTAGATGTAATGATACTTTTTCCAGTTAAAGAACATATTTAGATTAATAAAGCCACCTTCAAATCTGCAAAAATGGAAGATCTTCACCCGTATAGTGTGGCTTTCCTTCCACGTTGCCGGAAGTAGCAAAAATGAAAGGAATATCTTCTCCAATATCTTCACTCGACCACAAAACAAGCTCCTAAATGTTGGGCTTCAGTGCGGAAAAGAATAATTTAAAAAAAAAAATTGGGCGGCTCTCCTTTCACGTTGCCGAAAGTAGCAAAATCAATGGGAATATCCACCACAAAACCAAGGTACTGAACTTTGTAAATTTGGGAGAACTCTGACTTAGAAGTAGGTTAGAAATGGACATGTAATTTGGTCGGACAAGGACCACTAGAAAGGAAGATTTGGGCTTCCCTCCAAAAATTTAGCACACGTCATTCTTTATTTTAAAAGCCTGTATTCTACCCTGTTTGCAAATCTGGATGAATAGCTTAATACCTAAACTTTAGAGTAATATTATCCATAGTGAAGACTGTCAATAGTCGTCCTATGTGGCATACACTTGACAATTTAGTATTTAATACATAGATATGATAGTTATTTTTTGAATTATACATCAAATGAAAAACTGTCAAGTGTACGTCACATAAGGTGACTGCCGGTAGTCTTCACTGCGAATAGCATTATTCTAAACTTTATGAGTTAATGATGTACTAATTTGCAAGGACATTTATTGCTTTTCTTTGTTTAATTGTGTTATTAAAAATAACTGACTTATTATATACTGTATCGGAGCAATTTTGGATAGATTTTAATCCATTTTCTGATCGTGCTGGTCCCCATTTGTGTCGTTATTTTTGACTCTATATGAAACAAAATACAAAAATTTCCCTTTTCTAAGGAATATTGAATTAAATGTCAAAATGGGTATACTAGTCATTCTACTTGAAATTGGTGAATAATTGTGGCTACATCTATTGTATAACGGTATGATTTTCTCTACAAATTTGATGAGAATTTCTCCCAGACGGGGGCATATTTGGAGTTAAGATTTGTTGTAGCTTCTTTTTTCCATTTTTATCATATATTAAATCATATTTAAAATAACAAGAAGTAAATAAAAAGGAAGCCTGATTGTATGTGTGGAGCTCCATCTCGATTCAATTTCAACAACACTTACCCGCCACTTCGAACCAACAAATGCAAACCCAACCTTCCATTCAATTCTCAAAAAGATTACTCTACAATCTGCTGGACAAACGGCCGCCAATTTCTGAGCTCAAGAAAATCCACGCCCAAATCATCATATCATCACAAAAATCCTTAACCGATTCACTCATCCACTGTTATTTACGTACCAACAACGTTAATGTTGCAAGAATCTTGTTCAACAACTACCCTTTTCCTTCACCGCCAACTTTAGTGTGGAATCTTGTGATCAGAGCATACTCGAAACTTCAAGGTTCTTTAGAATCCGTTAATCTTTTTCACCAAATGCTTACTTTAGACCACCCATTTTCTGCTGTCCCTGATGAATATACTTTTACTTTTGTGATCACTTCGTGTGCTCATCAGAAGTCGATTATACACGGAGAAATTATTCATGGGATGGTGAAGAAAAATGGGTATTTGATGAATTTGTATGTAGCAAATTCTTTGATAAATGTGTATGCCGTTTTTGCAAGGTTAGGTGATGCGTATAAAGTATTTGATGAAATGCCTGAGGTAGACGTGTTCTCCTGGACTAGTTTACTCGGTGCGTACGTGAATGGAGGGGAGATGGGTGTAGCAAGCAAATTTTTCGAGGAAATGCCTGTGAAAAATGATGTTTCTTGGGCAGTTATGATTTCGGGGTGTGTAGGATGTGGAAGGTATGCTGAGGCCCTCAGGTATTTTGGCGAGTTGGGAAAAAATGAACATAATGTGAAGACGAACGAGGCTATTGTTGTTTGTGCTCTATCTGCTTGTGCTCATCTTGGAGCCTTGGATCGAGGGAGCTGGATTCATGGTTATATAGACAAGAATGGTATTTCGGAAACTTCAAACATCAGGACTGCTCTCATCGACATGTATGCAAAGTGTGGGAGGATTGATTGTGCATATCGAGTATTTGATAGGATATCTAAACCAGATGTTCACAATTATACGAGTATGATATCAGGTTTATCTATTCATGGGCTTGGTGAGGACGCTATACGCGTATTCAATCAAATGTTGGTTGACAAAATCAAGCCAAATGAAGTGACCATTCTGGGGGTTTTGAATGGGTGTAGTCATTCAGGTATGGTGCAACAGGGCTTACTGATTTTCTATAACATGGAGAACTCGTGGGGAATTGTGCCCAAGATTGAGCACTATGGTTGTTTTGTTGATTTACTTGGTCGTGCTCGCTACTTGGCAAAGGCATTTGGAGTTGTCAAAAGCATGTCTATTGATCCCGATGTTGTTGTATGGAGGGCTTTGCTTAGTGCTTGCAGAGTTCATCGTAACACTTATCTTGGCGAACGCATAGTAAATCATATAGGACAACTCGACTCTCAGAGTCAAAGAGGAGCTGAAATCCTACTTTCCAACTTGTATGCTTCTCTAGGCAAATGGGATAGCGTTTCTATAGTAAGGCATGAAATGAGCAAGCAAAAGAACCAATCAGATATTGGATGTAGTTGGATTGAGGTGAATGGTTCTATTCATGAGTTTCGAGTTGCAGATCATCTCCATCCACAGATAATCGAGATTCGAGAGAAACTAAGTGAAATATTGAAAGGGGCTGGCTTGGTTGGTTATGCTGCTAATATCAATCATGTTTCATTTGATTTAAGTGATGAAGAGAAGGAGCAAGCAGTGGCTTGGCATAGCGAGAAGCTAGCTATTGCTTTTGCATTCATTAGCACCGCCCCTAAAACTTCCATCCGAGTAGTGAAAAATTTGAGAACTTGTGAGGATTGCCATAGTGCTCTCAAGGCCATATCCAAAGTTTACAATAGACAAATTATTGTTAGAGACCGTTCTCGTTTCCATACTTTCAGAGATGGAAAGTGTTCATGTAACGACTATTGGTGATGATCAGTTGTCAAAATATTAACACAAGAATTATTAACTTCATGTTACGACCAGAACCTACATGCCAAGAGACAGTATTCATCGAAACTAAGCCCATCTGAGCATTCTTGGCAACTATTAGTCAAATATCAGGCACCGAAACGATGCCAATCCGAGCAATGAGGTACGATCAAATGAACTATGCCTCTTCAAGCATCTATTTGCTCCTCGTATACTTAATTTCACACAGTACTCAATACGATAGAAAAAAGCAACAAGTTCATACTTTAAAAGTGTGCATCCCCTCTCTAGTTCCGAATTTGAAGGAAAATGCACAGTAATGCTTTACAGAAAAAGAAAATAATAAATATAAACTCTGGGCACTCTTCAAATGATAAGGTTATTTATATTAATTAGAAAAATAGACAACTTACAGAACAATTCTGTAGTCAATAGGCAGCATATTTCGGGTTTTAGAACTACTTAAATAAGCAAAATTTAAAAACCCATTTGAAATTAGGATGCCAAGGTTACACAGAAGGGAAATATTTGTTGAGATTGAAGGGAAGAGAATAAAATTCTTCGCTTCTTGAGTCAGTTTTAAATGAGCGAAATTTATCCCACCAATGCTTGCCTCTGTCTTTCCTTATTTGGCCATCCTTCTTGTGTAGAGTATTGTCAAGGAAATACGCTAATATCCCCGCAACAAAAGCTTCTGACGAGAAAGGGACATTGATTATGTCGTTGAACTGGTTGGAGAGCACAAAACCACAAGAATATGTAAGTTCAACATTATTTTGCATGAGTTTAACATCAATAAATGTTGAAGAAATCACTAGTTCAGATCTTTTTTAGCGTACCCATCTCCCTGAGGAATGGACAGGACCATAGCCGTTAATGGCAGTGTACTCGTTGAAGTACTGTGGCACGGACAAGCCCATAAAAATGGAAAAGCCTAATATGAATTTTGTCCGGAAGCTATTGAGATTGCAGAACTGAAGGAAACTTAAACCAGCTGAACCTGAATATCACAGAATACAAATTAACTTAATGATAAAGCGAACCAAATATCAAGAATGATCGACCTTAAAATTTCACGGATTGTATACACATACCCACATAAGCAAAGAAGAGACAGTATAAAGCAGCAACAATTGGTGCTGGAATTGAAGCAAAAACTGCTCCGAATTTTCCTGCACAAATTAGATAATTTAGCTATGTTGAACCAATCTTGTCTAAAGATTTCAGATGCTAATGAGGAAACACATTCATTTATTTAAAGTTTGGCGGGTTCATTCTTTCAAGTGCACAAATTTATACAAATGGATGGTGGCAAGAAATCGCAGAACTTTTGCATGCGTTGGTATTATTCTGAATCGCCTCATATAAAGTAGAAGGCACAGGTTTATTGTTTAGATTTTGTTTGAATAAATAAAAATGAATCCTCGTGGATCAGCGAGAATTCAAAATCACAAAACAGTTTACCAAGAATGGAAAAGAAGATCATGAATCCAGCGGATATCTGCACAACTCTTCGACTGCCAACACGTGTCAGTGCTAAAAGGCCAGCATTTTCACTGTTTATAAACCAAGAAAAGCAGTTGCATTATAAAGAGATCAATTGCAATAATAGCATGCTCAAGAAAAGAAGGTCTTACATTGATACAGATGACCCATTCCCAGTTCCAAACAATCCAGATAATAAGATAGCAACGCCCTGCAATATACATGAAAATTATTCACCCAGAATCTGGCATTCAATGTTTTCAGAAAGGTAAAATTAAGACGTATTCTAATTTTGCCAGAAAAATTCTAAAAAATAGTGAATCGTGACCATTCCATATCATATTAGGGAATAATTACAAGCATGTTCTCTTTAGTAAAACAAGCCTGACAGCATCTCATATCTGAAATAGCATATACGAGATCAGATATTTCGTTGATATCGTATAAACTTGAGACGTTTAGTTCTAATTTGATGTTCTTTCTCTAATTTCAAAGGAGAGGCTGTGTGCTTATTGGTACAATGCAAATATGGAAATAACGGTGCCCAACATAAAGGGAGTCTTCCTAATTTTATCACTTGAAAATATGCATCTCCCGTCACATCCTGTATTATTCCTGGCCATATGAATTTGGTCAAGCCAGTATTAGAGAGAGGTGCTATGCATTTGTAAATAAGGTGCAGGTTTACGTAATTTCTAGCATGTTTGATACACAATACTTGATGCGGATGGGATGAGACTGAAGAGTATAATAAACAAGATTTTATCCTCTTTACAAAAAATGCCATTGATGTCTAAAGAAGATCGTCAAGCTACGACCTATTCAAAGGACAGAATTCATGTAAATTTGCTGCAGGTTTACAGCATTTCTAGCATGTTTGATACACAATATGGGATGGGGACGGGACGAGACTGAAGAGTATAATAAACAAGATTTTATTATCTTTACAAAAAATGCCGTCGGTGTCTAAAGAAGATCATCAAGATATGACCTATTCAAAGGACAGAATTCATGTAAAAGCCTTGGTTTTGCCTTCTATTTCTTCTTTTCTTCTGTTTGTGTATTTTTTTTCCTTTTCTTTTTTACTTTTGGAGGGGGGGTTTTGTTCATGAGGTGGGGAGTGTTGGTTATGTAAGATGCCTTGTTTACCTGCCAACCTACACCACGGCTGAGAATAGATGGCGGCAAGGGGGTTGCACTGGCATATCTTGAAATTGCTATAAAGCCACCAGTGGACTGCATTTCCATAGAGAACAAGTGAAGAATAAGTCAAATACAACATTCCACATTATCAGAATTCACCGAGGTACAAATTCAGTTCAAAAAGAGATGGTTTTGAAGTATAATGGAGATGCAAACAAGCCACATTTGACCTTTTCGTCAGACATTTTGATGGAAAGGTATATTTCTCCCACAGTACTAAAAATTTATTCAAAATCACGAAAAAGTTGATATATGTGTTTGGCTTCTGCATGAAGATTGCGTCAGTTACATATCCGAATAGAGGCAGTAAAATTAAGAGAGCATGTTTGGCAAATTTGCTTATAAGTGAACAAGTGTAAAAATATAAGTATTTCTTTATGAAAGTTGGAAATAATAGGTACTTATTTTAACACTAAAATAACAATTACTTACAAAATAAGTAACTATTGTTACTTAATAGGTAAGAAAAAAGTAACATATCCAACATGTTTAGAAACAAAAAGTTTTTCCTTTTTTATAAGCTTAGCCAAACATGCTCTGAATATTAAGAAACAGACAGAGTTAAGCAGGAAGTTTTTAACATTCATCGAACCCTGTTTGGTCTAGCTTAAAAACCTAATAAATATATAGTTAAAGTCAACAATTAATTTTAACCATACATTTCATGAGATTCGTAACTTTTTTACCACATTTCATCAACTTTTATCTAAATTTATTAAAATCTGATTTTTAGCTACACCAAAAAAGGGTATAGTATAATGCACAAATGGTTCGAGTGTGTACATTGCATGAAGGAGCAGCTCTAGTTCAATTGGGGAGAATGTGAGAAACAAAGGTAAATAAACAGGAGAAGATGAATAGAGCGAAAAAAAGAGAAAAGAAAAAGAGAGGAAAAAACCAAATACTTTAGTCACCATCAGGGTAAAAAATGAAAACTGAAGTTGTAATGACACAGAAACAAAGAGACAAACATGCCTCCACAAGAGCAACAAATGCAGCCATCATCATGGCAAAGGCTTCACCAGCATCAAATGAAGGTCCTCCCCATTGAAATGGGTATGGAACTCTTATCCTGCATATGCAAACCACGTAAAACCTTTAGAAGTGCTATTGCCCATTTGTCATGTAAATGCAAGTCTCGTTCTCAGTGCATTTAGTATATCAAATAATTTACTTTTGGCTTAAGCAAAATCCTACTAATCGTTTATATCAACTAAAACATAACACCCGCTGGAGTTACAGTATCACCACACTACAGTTTCACAGTGGCATCATCAAATTAGCTGGATGATACATGAAATTAGAGAAAAATGAGCATCCGTTTCTTTTGATCAACTTATTTGTGTCGTATTAGATTTTTTCAGCGTCATCTATCTCCACCCAGCAGAAGATCTATCTGATTGTTGTCTATCCTAATAAAGTGCCCCTAACTCTAAATCTATAATGATAACAGAACAGGTGAAAAATTCCTTAACGGCATGTTTGGTAATATGGATTAGGTAGTAATGAACAAAATTACGGAAGAAATATAAAGTTAAGATTGTACTTTAATCTAATATTGCATATTAAGGGGGTGTTTGGTGGGGATTTTAAACCAATTAAAATCAATTTTTTTACTGTCATTTCACTATTTTAGCCGTCAGTTTTGAATTGTTCTCTCACAGGTAGAACCTACTTTATCTTTAACGGTCAAAAAATCAATTCTCAAAATCTCTACCAAATGCCCTCTAAACATGCACTAAATGAATGGATAAGGTTCATAAAGCACAAAAACCTCAGCAATTTTTGACATAACTTTTTTTTTTTTTTTTGGAATAAATAAATAATAGGTCGTGCAAGAAAGGCATGCAAGTTCAGAGGACAAGTCATGAAAGTAAGCACTGACAGAAGTGGAAATGTTTCACACACATAAACAACAAATGTTAGGCCAGCCCCAGTTCCACATAAGCTGACAAGGTACAGAGAATAATTATCACAATTAAGGTGGGGAAAGCTCAGCTTACCATGGAGCAGCATTAATAAGTCCAGCACGATCAGTTCTGCAGCTTGCTTGGGTCTTCGGTGCCTTGTTGTCATAGGCCCCACCCACAGTAAGTAGATGGGCATAAATCCACACAATTACTACCGAGAATATAACAGCAAAACGGTCAAAGATATGCTTTCCTGGGCGTATAATGTGGGCCAAATACTGCAATGACCAGCAAATTAATTGCATCATGTTAGTTGAAATTATGGTGCATGAGATGGGACAAATACTGCAATAATAAGCAAAATTAATTCTATCGTGATAGCTGTGATTCCACAATAGCATGAAGCATAAGTTACTTTCAGTTTTATAGCTAAATACTTCTATGAGGTGGTCTCTTTTAAGAAAGAGTGTGTGTAATAATGAAAGTGCAATTATGACGTTACCTGAGAAATGAAAATTAGAATGATGAGCTGCGGCAATCCAATTTCAACACATTTGGCAACCTAAAAACCAAGGGAAAAGATCAGATAAAAGCCAATTGTTTTACAAACATGCAGAGAAAATGAATATCCATGGGTGGAGGGTTGAGAGAGAGAGACATCAATAGACACTTGTGCATACCCCAGGAAAACCGAACTCATAGAGCCCAAAACCAGCAAGAGCAACCAAGGGAACAGCCGAAAGTGGAGTCAGAAACCTGCATTGCATAGAAATGATTTGACTCTTATTAAATGAAAAATGAGAACTGATTCTGAATATGAAAATCCCCCTGGATATCTACAACAAATGATATCTACAAGAAAGCTGGGTAGTTTTTACGAGTAAATTAACAGGATATGGAACAAAAATCTTATTGAGTTTAAATGTATAGTAAAGGCAAGCGCTAGCCTAGATCATGCATTCTATGTACTATTTTCCTGCTTTTGTCTCTTCCCTATTTATCAGTCTTTTTAAGCCCCTCCCCTCAGAAGGGGACGAGCTTGACCTCATTTCTCTTAGTCTATTGTTTGAATAGAGGGGAACTCCTAAGTCAGCTAGGCTAAGGCCGATAAGGACCTTTTTTCGCCCCTACCCTCGAAGGCAAGGCTATAAAATCGCTTTCACACAGAAAACACTTTCAGAAAAGTGCGAAATGGGTTGCACCTTAAATTATATGATTTTAAACCCCAGCTGTAACTTAAACAAGTTGAGCTACGCACAGCTCAATTATTTTGTGCTTGCTAAACCAAGACTGAACAATAAGAAAAGAGGAAACAAGAAGTTTCCTGCTAGATTACTAACACCAATATAAGAACATCCCAATCTTTTGAGTTAGTCTAAAACTAATAGCATTTATCCGGATCCCATAACATAAAACAAACCTTGTGATGTTACGCCAAAGACCACTGAAACCTAGGACTATTTGAATAGTTGAGGCAACAATAAGTGCGCCCTGGGTGGCCCGCATTATCTTCTTGAATCTCTGCATGGGAATCAAAAGTTCTAACACATTAAAAGTGAGAATTCAACAAGAGTAACTAGGGTAATTATGTTCGTTTTCTTGTTAAAACTAGTCTCTTTGTACACATTAATATGCAGAATCAAGCAGAATGAGGCAGCAATATATGACAAATCTTCATCAAAGCCTTGCTTGACAAAAAAGGAATATGTTTGACCAATAATCCTGAAACTGATTAGCCTGGCCAACTTTTTTATTGTCAACTCAACCAAAATTAAAACAGCAGCATTTATTAGTGTTAGCAATTGGCTTAGAAAAACACTAGAATAAAATATATAGAAAACTTCATAGTCCTAAGTTTATGAATAACAATCACTAGGCCACAAAGCTCTACATGTCAGCGATAAAGAGAAGATGCAATTGGAATAGGGTTGGGCTCACAAACCGATATAGGGTCTGGGTCACTCCATCGACCAGACAAGATAATTGATATAGTGGGTGCAACAAAGGTGTACGACCCTCCAATCACCACAGGTAATCGAGTCCCAAACCATGTCTGCAGCAAGGTGTTCAAGCCAGCAACAAAGAGCAGAGTCTGAATAACTTTTGCTTTCTCCTCCTAGAAAAAAGGTTAGTGTGTAATTCGTTTATCTGGTGAATTAACCAAGTCAGTATTAGAAAGAATTTTACAGGATCTAGAAATCAAATGTCTCACATTTCCTCCCCCCATTTGAGGAACCAAAGCAGTAGGTATGATAACGGTTGTGCCAAGCATCACCAAGTAATGTTGAAATCCAAGAAGGATGGCCTCAGCTGCAACAAAACAGTCCAGGATTATCAATGAAGCAATCAGAACCCACGGAGTACGTATGAAAGGTGCAATGCAACTTCAATTATACACACATTGCTCAAGGAATGAGTCTGAAAATATTCAACAAATTCTAGATCCCGTCTTAGTGAGGAAAGCATTTTAAAGAATTGGACATCTTATCCACTTATGCTACATATAAAATTCACATGGCGTGGCTCTCCATTTTTCAAAAGACTTGTATTGGTACAAGCTGGAAATTGGCCAATTCGGCAGCCTTTTGATTAATTGCTTGTGGAATCAAGTTCTTTTTTCATTTCTTTATCAGAAGATACAAGTTGACTTTCGAGTATATACACATGAAGGGTTAACAGAATCAGAAGATTTAAACTTGGCTGAACTCAAAATCCGCTATCACTTTCTACCTAAACTAAAAAAGTATTAGACAAGAAGAATAAGTATATACACTCAGAATAAACAACAACAGAAGATCAAAAACAAATTGGCTTCCAGCCCACCAAAAAGAGAGAGTGACAGAAGGAAAAAAAAGAGAGAGAAAAAAAATCAAGAACAACATGGTTCAAGTAATCCACTACTACTTTATACTAAAACCCAAAAGATTAACAAAAAGAATACTAGATTGTGAAGAAATGTTAACAAAAAGACGAGAGACTGACGCCATGGAGGAGGACTGTTAATGCAGTAGGAAACGCTTGAAAGCTGATCCTTTGGTGGATGTGGCGCTGGCTCATCTGCCTTCGGAGCTCCACCGCCAGCCATTGTTTAGCTTTTTCCTCTCTCTAGAAAAATGTTAGGAAAAAAATGTTTCCAAGATTTTTCACAGTCTAGTAGAATCAACCTGAAAAAACCCAGATCAGGAATCTTTAAAAAAATCATAAAATGACTGCAGAGATGAAAGAAAGACTGCAACTTTTTGAGAACGCCATAAAGGTGAGATTCAATAAAAAGCTCACAAATCACAAATAAATGAACCACACAACACCAAAAACAATCTGCATTTACTTTTAACGCATCGTACAACCTACCTTTTGCATCACAAGTTTGAGAGAGAGAGAGAGAGAGAGAGAGCAAAACGAGGGGGGTAAATAAGGTGCAGGTTTACGTAATTTCTAGCATGTTTGATACACAATACTTGATGCGGATGGGATGAGACTGAAGAGTATAATAAACAAGATTTTATCCTCTTTACAAAAAATGCCATTGATGTCTAAAGAAGATCGTCAAGCTACGACCTATTCAAAGGACAGAATTCATGTAAATTTGCTGCAGGTTTACAGCATTTCTAGCATGTTTGATACACAATACTTGATGCGGATGGGATGAGACTGAAGAGTATAATAAACAAGATTTTATCCTCTTTACAAAAAATGCCATTGATGTCTAAAGAAGATCGTCAAGCTACGACCTATTCAAAGGACAGAATTCATGTAAATTTGCTGCAGGTTTACAGCATTTCTAGCATGTTTGATACACAATATGGGATGGGGACGGGACGAGACTGAAGAGTATAATAAACAAGATTTTATTATCTTTACAAAAAATGCCGTCGGTGTCTAAAGAAGATCATCAAGATATGACCTATTCAAAGGACAGAATTCATGTAAAAGCCTTGGTTTTGCCTTCTATTTCTTCTTTTCTTCTGTTTGTGTGTTTTTTTTCCTTTTTCTTTTTTACTTTTGGAGGGGGGGTTTTGTTCATGAGGTGGGGAGTGTTGGTTATGTAAGATGCCTTGTTTACCTGCCAACCTACACCACGGCTGAGAATAGATGGCGGCAAGGGGGTTGCACTGGCATATCTTGAAATTGCTATAAAGCCACCAGTGGACTGCATTTCCATAGAGAACAAGTGAAGAATAAGTCAAATACAACATTCCACATTATCAGAATTCACCGAGGTACAAATTCAGTTCAAAAAGAGATGGTTTTGAAGTATAATGGAGATGCAAACAAGCCACATTTGACCTTTTCGTCAGACATTTTGATGGAAAGGTATATTTCTCCCACAGTACTAAAAATTTATTCAAAATCACGAAAAAGTTGATATATGTGTTTGGCTTCTGCATGAAGATTGCGTCAGTTACATATCCGAATAGAGGCAGTAAAATTAAGAGAGCATGTTTGGCAAATTTGCTTATAAGTGAACAAGTGTAAAAATATAAGTATTTCTTTATGAAAGTTGGAAATAATAGGTACTTATTTTAACACTAAAATAACAATTACTTACAAAATAAGTAACTATTGTTACTTAATAGGTAAGAAAAAAGTAACATATCCAACATGTTTAGAAACAAAAAGTTTTTCCTTTTTTATAAGCTTAGCCAAACATGCTCTGAATATTAAGAAACAGACAGAGTTAAGCAGGAAGTTTTTAACATTCATCGAACCCTGTTTGGTCTAGCTTAAAAACCTAATAAATATATAGTTAAAGTCAACAATTAATTTTAACCATACATTTCATGAGATTCGTAACTTTTTGACCACATTTCATCAACTTTTATCTAAATTTATTAAAATCTGATTTTTAGCTACACCAAAAAAGGGTATAGTATAATGCACAAATGGTTCGAGTGTGTACATGCATGAAGGAGCAGCTCTAGTTCAATTGGGGAGAATGTGAGAAACAAAGGTAAATAAACAGGAGAAGATGAATAGAGCGAAAAAAAGAGAAAAGAAAAAGAGAGGAAAAAACCAAATACTTTAGTCACCATCAGGGTAAAAAATGAAAACTGAAGTTGTAATGACACAGAAACAAAGAGACAAACATGCCTCCACAAGAGCAACAAATGCAGCCATCATCATGGCAAAGGCTTCACCAGCATCAAATGAAGGTCCTCCCCATTGAAATGGGTATGGAACTCTTATCCTGCATATGCAAACCACGTAAAACCTTTAGAAGTGCTATTGCCCATTTGTCATGTAAATGCAAGTCTCGTTCTCAGTGCATTTAGTATATCAAATAATTTACTTTTGGCTTAAGCAAAATCCTACTAATCGTTTATATCAACTAAAACATAACACCCGCTGGAGTTACAGTATCACCACACTACAGTTTCACAGTGGCATCATCAAATTAGCTGGATGATACATGAAATTAGAGAAAAATGAGCATCCGTTTCTTTTGATCAACTTATTTGTGTCGTATTAGATTTTTTCAGCGTCATCTATCTCCACCCAGCAGAAGATCTATCTGATTGTTGTCTATCCTAATAAAGTGCCCCTAACTCTAAATCTATAATGATAACAGAACAGGTGAAAAATTCCTTAACGGCATGTTTGGTAATATGGATTAGGTAGTAATGAACAAAATTACGGAAGAAATATAAAGTTAAGATTGTACTTTAATCTAATATTGCATATTAAGGTGGTGTTTGGTGGGGATTTTAAGCCAATTAAAATCAATTTTTTTATTGTCATTTCACTATTTTAGCCGTCAGTTTTGAATTGTTCTCTCACAGGTAGAACCTACTTTATCTTTAACGGTCAAAAAATCAATTCTCAAAATCTCTACCAAATGCCCTCTAAACATGCACTAAATGAATGGATAAGGTTCATAAAGCACAAAAACCTCAGCAATTTTTGACATAACTTTTTTTTTTTTTTTTGGAATAAATAAATAATAGGTCGTGCAAGAAAGGCATGCAAGTTCAGAGGACAAGTCATGAAAGTAAGCACTGACAGAAGTGGAAATGTTTCACACACATAAACAACAAATGTTAGGCCAGCCCCAGTTCCACATAAGCTGACAAGGTACAGAGAATAATTATCACAATTAAGGTGGGGAAAGCTCAGCTTACCATGGAGCAGCATTAATAAGTCCAGCACGATCAGTTCTGCAGCTTGCTTGGGTCTTCGGTGCCTTGTTGTCATAGGCCCCACCCACAGTAAGTAGATGGGCATAAATCCACACAATTACTACCGAGAATATAACAGCAAAACGGTCAAAGATATGCTTTCCTGGGCGTATAATGTGGGCCAAATACTGCAATGACCAGCAAATTAATTGCATCATGTTAGTTGAAATTATGGTGCATGAGATGGGACAAATACTGCAATAATAAGCAAAATTAATTCTATCGTGATAGCTGTGATTCCACAATAGCATGAAGCATAAGTTACTTTCAGTTTTATAGCTAAATACTTCTATGAGGTGGTCTCTTTTAAGAAAGAGTGTGTGTAATAATGAAAGTGCAATTATGACGTTACCTGAGAAATGAAAATTAGAATGATGAGCTGCGGCAATCCGATTTCAACACATTTGGCAACCTAAAAACCAAGGGAAAAGATCAGATAAAAGCCAATTGTTTTACAAACATGCAGAGAAAATGAATATCCATGGGTGGAGGGTTGAGAGAGAGAGACATCAATAGACACTTGTGCATACCCCAGGAAAACCGAACTCATAGAGCCCAAAACCAGCAAGAGCAACCAAGGGAACAGCCGAAAGTGGAGTCAGAAACCTGCATTGCATAGAAATGATTTGACTCTTATTAAATGAAAAATGAGAACTGATTCTGAATATGAAAATCCCCCTGGATATCTACAACAAATGATATCTACAAGAAAGCTGGGTAGTTTTTACGAGTAAATTAACAGGATATGGAACAAAAATCTTATTGAGTTTAAATGTATAGTAAAGGCAAGCGCTAGCCTAGATCATGCATTCTATGTACTATTTTCCTGCTTTTGTCTCTTCCCTATTTATCAGTCTTTTTAAGCCCCTCCCCTCAGAAGGGGACGAGCTTGACCTCATTTCTCTTAGTCTATTGTTTGAATAGAGGGGAACTCCTAAGTCAGCTAGGCTAAGGCCGATAAGGACCTTTTTTCGCCCCTACCCTCGAAGGCAAGGCTATAAAGTCGCTTTCACACAGAAAACACTTTCAGAAAAGTGCGAAATGGGTTGCACCTTGAATTATATGATTTTAAACCCCAGCTGTAACTTAAACAAGTTGAGCTACGCACAGCTCAATTATTTTGTGCTTGCTAAACCAAGACTGAACAATAAGAAAAGAGGAAACAAGAAGTTTCCTGCTAGATTACTAACACCAATATAAGAACATCCCAATCTTTTGAGTTAGTCTAAAACTAATAGCATTTATCCGGATCCCATAACATAAAACAAACCTTGTGATGTTACGCCAAAGACCACTGAAACCTAGGACTATTTGAATAGTTGAGGCAACAATAAGTGCGCCCTGGGTGGCCCGCATTATCTTCTTGAATCTCTGCATGGGAATCAAAAGTTCTAACACATTAAAAGTGAGAATTCAACAAGAGTAACTAGGGTAATTATGTTCGTTTTCTTGTTAAAACTAGTCTCTTTGTACACATTAATATGCAGAATCAAGCAGAATGAGGCAGCAATATATGACAAATCTTCATCAAAGCCTTGCTTGACAAAAAAGGAATATGTTTGACCAATAATCCTGAAACTGATTAGCCTGGCCAACTTTTTTATTGTCAACTCAACCAAAATTAAAACAGCAGCATTTATTAGTGTTAGCAATTGGCTTAGAAAAACACTAGAATAAAATATATAGAAAACTTCATAGTCCTAAGTTTATGAATAACAATCACTAGGCCACAAAGCTCTACATGTCAGCGATAAAGAGAAGATGCAATTGGAATAGGGTTGGGCTCACAAACCGATATAGGGTCTGGGTCACTCCATCGACCAGACAAGATAATTGATATAGTGGGTGCAACAAAGGTGTACGACCCTCCAATCACCACAGGTAATCGAGTCCCAAACCATGTCTGCAGCAAGGTGTTCAAGCCAGCAACAAAGAGCAGAGTCTGAATAACTTTTGCTTTCTCCTCCTAGAAAAAAGGTTAGTGTGTAATTCGTTTATCTGGTGAATTAACCAAGTCAGTATTAGAAAGAATTTTACAGGATCTAGAAATCAAATGTCTCACATTTCCTCCCCCCATTTGAGGAACCAAAGCAGTAGGTATGATAACGGTTGTGCCAAGCATCACCAAGTAATGTTGAAATCCAAGAAGGATGGCCTCAGCTGCAACAAAACAGTCCAGGATTATCAATGAAGCAATCAGAACCCACGGAGTACGTATGAAAGGTGCAATGCAACTTCAATTATACACACATTGCTCAAGGAATGAGTCTGAAAATATTCAACAAATTCTAGATCCCGTCTTAGTGAGGAAAGCATTTTAAAGAATTGGACATCTTATCCACTTATGCTACATATAAAATTCACATGGCGTGGCTCTCCATTTTTCAAAAGACTTGTATTGGTACAAGCTGGAAATTGGCCAATTCGGCAGCCTTTTGATTAATTGCTTGTGGAATCAAGTTCTTTTTTCATTTCTTTATCAGAAGATACAAGTTGACTTTCGAGTATATACACATGAAGGGTTAACAGAATCAGAAGATTTAAACTTGGCTGAACTCAAAATCCGCTATCACTTTCTACCTAAACTAAAAAAGTATTAGACAAGAAGAATAAGTATATACACTCAGAATAAACAACAACAGAAGATCAAAAACAAATTGGCTTCCAGCCCACCAAAAAGAGAGAGTGACAGAAGGAAAAAAAAGAGAGAGAAAAAAAATCAAGAACAACATGGTTCAAGTAATCCACTACTACTTTATACTAAAACCCAAAAGATTAACAAAAAGAATACTAGATTGTGAAGAAATGTTAACAAAAAGACGAGAGACTGACGCCATGGAGGAGGACTGTTAATGCAGTAGGAAACGCTTGAAAGCTGATCCTTTGGTGGATGTGGCGCTGGCTCATCTGCCTTCGGAGCTCCACCGCCAGCCATTGTTTAGCTTTTTCCTCTCTCTAGAAAAATGTTAGGAAAAAAATGTTTCCAAGATTTTTCACAGTCTAGTAGAATCAACCTGAAAAAACCCAGATCAGGAATCTTTAAAAAAATCATAAAATGACTGCAGAGATGAAAGAAAGACTGCAACTTTTTGAGAACGCCATAAAGGTGAGATTCAATAAAAAGCTCACAAATCACAAATAAATGAACCACACAACACCAAAAACAATCTGCATTTACTTTTAACGCCTCGTACAACCTACCTTTTGCATCACAAGTTTGAGAGAGAGAGAGAGAGCAAAACGAGGGGATTGATTGGGGGTGGGGGTCTGGAGGAGATGAAGCCACGAAAGTGAAACGGTAACAGCCAATGCTTGGATGTGTGTCCGTATATCTGTGTTAAATAAGCTTAAGCGCTTGTTTGATGGAGATTTTGAATAAAACTCCCTTTACAAATTCCTTTGCACAGCTCTCATATGGGACGGATCTTACATGTGGACCTCATGTGTGTGGGGTCAACCCCCAAATGTATGCATCTGTACAGATCTGTGCAAATAACACAATTGATTGATTTTTTGATCGTGAGATAAATGATTTTATTTGTGAAAGAAAAAATTTAAAATAAATATAAAATAGTGAAATAAAGATCAAAAAATTGATTTTAATTGAATTAATAGCTATACCAAACAAGCTCTAAATATTTTAAGAAAATATAACAAAACCCCACATAAAAAATAGCAAAAGAAAAGGAAAAAAGGGGGACCAAATTGTCAAAATGAGAAGCTTTTCAAACAGCAAAAATCAAGTAGAGTGGAGGTGGAAAAGTGAGCTGAGTTTTAGCGAAGCGGTGAAAGAGAGAGAGAAAGGAAATGGGATTACTTTATGCGAGTTTTTGTCCAAAAGCAAAGAAAAAGTCCTGAATACTTGTGTGGACTGTGGAAAGTGTGACCGAGCAAAATATAATAATATGAAGGCAAAATTAGCAATATTGGTCCTCAAGTTTCTTGTTCTAATAGCAAGTTGTCCACAATCTTAAGAAAGAAGTGTTCCCTAACATTCGGGTTAATTCTACCAATGACCGCTGAACTTTATGCTAAATAAAGGATTCTTTTAAGATACAAGGAATACTTCATTCTAAATTAAAGGATAACAGACTTTCTAATTCTAATTCTGAAATGAATTAAGGAAAAAAAGATTAAGAGGATACTATATATATAGTTTATCTAGAATCAAATGGTCTAGATTAGTAGCACAATAATAGTGTAATAGAGTTCATCAGTGTTGTATGGTTAAAAAGAAAACATTTTAGCAAAATGGAATTTCACCTTGCCCAAAAATTTTAGATTGTTTCATTTACATCATTGAACTTTAAAAAATTCAAGGACACCACCATGTTGTGCCTTGTTCAGTTTTTAACATATACTTCTATGTATTTTTTACATTTCATGAGTGTGGTGTAACTGAACTTTAAAGCGATGGTGTAATGAAAAAAAAAATTAATGTTCAATTTGTTTAAATGAAATAATTTTAAAATTTTAATTATGAAATGATACAAATTAAATTTCAGGGGTAAAAGTAAAATTTATTGTAAAGTTATGTGATCATTGATAAAATCAAACCAAAACATTTTAACAGTCTCAATTGGCAAAATTAGTTATAGTCGTCATTTGCTCTCCGCATGTCTAACATTATGATTTATGAAGCTAAGTTTTACTTATCGAAGCTATGTTCAAAATTTTGAAGTTAGTTATATTCTTCTATTGGAAACTCACTTTGCACAAATATTAAAGAAATCACTTGCTACTTTTAAAATGCCAGGATTAAATTAAGATTGGTGCAATGGTTTGGGGACCGGCGGTACAATTATCACTGAAATTTAAACATTGTTCCCCCTCTCTCCCCCCTCTCTCAAACATTTGCGCTTCTCTTTCTCTCTCTAAAATTTCAAAATTGGCCGAAATTTGTACTTTCACAACACATTTTTTCTCTCTTATACGTCTCTCTCTAACAAATTTTTATAATAGATAGAAGAAAATTGGAGGAATCTTTAAAGCAAAAAGAATTATAAATGTTGATTGTTTCATATGTATCTAACTTCTAATAGAAAGAGGGCATGAGAGTTTACTATTTATGCAATAGTAAATGAATTTAATTTTATTATGCATAATATTATATTTTATTTGAGATAAATGATTTTATTTGTGAAAGAAAAAATTTAAAATAAATATAAAATAGTGAAATAAAGATCAAAAAATTGATTTTAATTGAATTAATAGCTATACCAAACAAGCTCTAAATATTTTAAGAAAATATAACAAAACCCCACATAAAAAATAGCAAAAGAAAAGGAAAAAAGGGGGACCAAATTGTCAAAATGAGAAGCTTTTCAAACAGCAAAAATCAAGTAGAGTGGAGGTGGAAAAGTGAGCTGAGTTTTAGCGAAGCGGTGAAAGAGAGAGAGAAAGGAAATGGGATTACTTTATGCGAGTTTTTGTCCAAAAGCAAAGAAAAAGTCCTGAATACTTGTGTGGACTGTGGAAAGTGTGACCGAGCAAAATATAATAATATGAAGGCAAAATTAGCAATATTGGTCCTCAAGTTTCTTGTTCTAATAGCAAGTTGTCCACAATCTTAAGAAAGAAGTGTTCCCTAACATTCGGGTTAATTCTAAAAGAGAGAGAGAAAGGAAATGGGATTACTTTATGCGAGTTTTTGTCCAAAAGCAAAGAAAAAGTCCTGAATACTTGTGTGGACTGTGGAAAGTGTGACCGAGCAAAATATAATAATATGAAGGCAAAATTAGCAATATTGGTCCTCAAGTTTCTTGTTCTAATAGCAAGTTGTCCACAATCTTAAGAAAGAAGTGTTCCCTAACATTCGGGTTAATTCTACCAATGACCGCTGAACTTTATGCTAAATAAAGGATTCTTTTAAGATACAAGGAATACTTCATTCTAAATTAAAGGATAACAGACTTTCTAATTCTAATTCTGAAATGAATTAAGGAAAAAAAGATTAAGAGGATACTATATATATAGTTTATCTAGAATCAAATGGTCTAGATTAGTAGCACAATAATAGTGTAATAGAGTTCATCAGTGTTGTATGGTTAAAAAGAAAACATTTTAGCAAAATGGAATTTCACCTTGCCCAAAAATTTTAGATTGTTTCATTTACATCATTGAACTTTAAAAAATTCAAGGACACCACCATGTTGTGCCTTGTTCAGTTTTTAACATATACTTCTATGTATTTTTTACATTTCATGAGTGTGGTGTAACTGAACTTTAAAGCGATGGTGTAATGAAAAAAAAAATTAATGTTCAATTTGTTTAAATGAAATAATTTTAAAATTTTAATTATGAAATGATACAAATTAAATTTCAGGGGTAAAAGTAAAATTTATTGTAAAGTTATGTGATCATTGATAAAATCAAACCAAAACATTTTAACAGTCTCAATTGGCAAAATTAGTTATAGTCGTCATTTGCTCTCCGCATGTCTAACATTATGATTTATGAAGCTAAGTTTTACTTATCGAAGCTATGTTCAAAATTTTGAAGTTAGTTATATTCTTCTATTGGAAACTCACTTTGCACAAATATTAAAGAAATCACTTGCTACTTTTAAAATGCCAGGATTAAATTAAGATTGGTGCAATGGTTTGGGGACCGGCGGTACAATTATCACTGAAATTTAAACATTGTTCCCCCTCTCTCCCCCCTCTCTCAAACATTTGCGCTTCTCTTTCTCTCTCTAAAATTTCAAAATTGGCCGAAATTTGTACTTTCACAACACATTTTTTCTCTCTTATACGTCTCTCTCTAACAAATTTTTATAATAGATAGAAGAAAATTGGAGGAATCTTTAAAGCAAAAAGAATTATAAATGTTGATTGTTTCATATGTATCTAACTTCTAATAGAAAGAGGGCATGAGAGTTTACTATTTATGCAATAGTAAATGAATTTAATTTTATTATGCATAATATTATATTTTATTTTGTTTATGTCAAACAAATATTCTTCCACATATTATTTTACTAGCATTAAAAAATAATTATATCAAACAATTGTTCTTTCACACATCATGCCACTAGCGTTAAAAAAATAATAATAATTTTAATAAATATAAATTGTTATGAGAAAAAAAAAACTCTTTGCGCATAAGCTTTAAAAAAAATAAAAAATAAAAAACTCTCCACACAGTGTGAAGAGATGACAAACCATATGCGGAGTAAAAAAGGAAGAAAAACTCTCCGCATAGTGCGGAGAGTGGCAAACCATGTGCGGAGGAGAGTTTGCCAACTCTCCGTATAATGCGAAGTGAAAAAAAATCTCTCCACACAGTGCGGAGAAATGACAAATACCATGGCAAAACTCTCCACACAGTGTGGGGAGATGGCATTCTATGCGGACACTGTCCTCACTAAGTGCAGACTCTTCGTATAGTGCAGAATAAAAAAAAAACTTCGCACAGTGCTTAGAGTTGGCAAACTCTCCGTACAGTGCTAAGTTAAAAAAAAATAAAAAAACTCTTCACACAGTGACTGTCATGTGCGTTGCACTAATTTTACATTTATCGTATTTTTATTATCATATAAATTTTAGTTTTTTGGAAAGTTTTTGAAGCAATATTTAGAAATATTTCCATGATAAAAGAAAATAATTGTAAATTATTTTTACAATTGCATAATAGTATTGTGTCATCTAGAAAAAATATACTTATATATTTCATACTTAAATAATAAATATACGAAATTATACAAATTATTTTGCTTGAATTATTTGATAATGTTGACATGATTGAGTTGAATGTGAAAATTATATTTCTAAATTTTGTGTAATTCAATATTGAAAAATTGAAGATGGAAAACCATATCCATATGCATTTATATTGTGTGCTTCATATATATTTAATAATTATTTTATGTTTATGTTGAAAAAAATAAAAATCTGAAAAAAAAATTTGAAATTCGGTTTGGTAAGTGAATGTATGGTGTTCTACATTCTCGGTATTTGTAAATGCAAAAATTGGTATATAAAAATACAGTAAGCTGCAAATACGATAGGTAGCATATACGGTAAGTTACAAATACGGTAGGTAGCATATACGGTAAGGTGCAAATACGATAAGTTATTTGCAAATACGGTTGCTGCAAATACAGTAAGCTGTAAATACGGTAGGCAGCATATACGGTAAGCTGCCTACAAATACGGTAGGCAGCATATACGATAAGCTGCATATATGAATTTATAATTTTTTATAAATGGATAAAATTTATTTAATATTGAATTTTTTAAGTTTTAAATGTTGTAATTCAATATTGTTTCCTTTTTTATAATTGTATTTCCGAGAATTTAAAAAAAATGGTTATGAAATTGCTAATTTTTAAATATATTTTTTGTTAAAGATAAGAATAATTTTTATATATTAT